GATCATAGAAAATATATTGTAAAAAGAAGATATCTGCAATGGCATTTGCTAGAGGCTTACACAAAGAAGTTTTGGTAGTCTAAAGATGGCTATTGGTATGATAAAGACATAAATAAATTTTTCTCCAGATCGGTCTAAGAAGATGGAGCCTGAATAGTTCCTGTCAGACAGTGAAATCCTAGGAGTTCTGAAGGGTGAAACTAATGGGAGTTCACACTGAAAGGCAGAAGAAGCTGAAGTCTGATATCCTTGGGTGATGGGAACTGTAATAGTTACAAATGTTCAGGAAGGGAAGAATAGAGCTTTCATACACTGACTAGCACTGTTTTTCTATTTTTATTCCACCAGCGCATAGAATGGTGACTCCAAATTTGAGAGTGCTTTCTCCTCAGTTAGTAAATGTGCCTTTGGAAATGCCGTAGCAAACACTCACAAAGGAAAACTTCCAAGGTCCCAAGACACATCTTGATCCAGCGTTAGTTTTGGTTACCTTGACCTGGGTGGCCTTTGGGCACTGGCAGTCTCAGGATGCAGAGGAATTGGGAAGTTTGGTCTCTGAGGACGGTGGGTAACTATGACAGAAATGACCAGAGAGACGCTTTCGGGGACAATTTAGTTACTGATGTAATGGGGCTAACTTCTATAGCTCAAGTCAGTGGGGAGGGGAGGACAAAGAACAAGGGAGGAAGTGTATGTAAAGTGCACAGACCTGATTGAAGACAGGCAAGGACTAGCTACTCACCAAATTCAAACATGAAAGAATGTTGGAGGAAGTGCAGCGCAGAAGTGCTGTGGCAGAGGCAGGGATTTTCCAAGCTTATCAGTTCTTTTCGCAGACTTTCTGAGGAGCTATTCTCTGGAGGGGAAACAAAGTTCAACTCATCTAATATGACATGGCCTTTGTTTCTAGAGGTGAGTAGGTACAGGCCTGATATGGGTAGGGAGTGGCCCCACTTCTGCCATTCTGTGATGCTGTCTGGGGTATGGGCAATACTCGACATCCCTTCTCTGTGTAGTAGGAAATTGTTTGCTCCTGGACACCCAAAACGAAAATAATCTCTCAGAAACTATATTATTTAAATCACTGCTTAGACAGTAGCTTGAGCATATTGCTAGCTAGCTCTTACTGTGGCAGCCAGTCATGATAAACTAAGTATGGCCAGGTCACCCAAAGGAATTTTTTTACTTCCAACCATTATCACTTTTCACAGAAAAACTCTGCTATCCATAAATTTAATAAGAGGCCTGAGTCTCAGTAGTTTGCCTCGAGGCAATACATGGTTGCAGAAAGAACTACAGACTAAGATTCCCCAATGTCACCTAGAACAGACCATTCAAAGGAAATGCCTAGCATTCCAATCACTGTAGATAGGACCACCTGCCAGTACACACCCACCAGGACACCCCTATACAAATGTCAGCCAATCAGAGGTCCTGAACCTCAGAAACCCCTCACCCCACCTTTACTACTATAAAAACCTAATTCTAATTGAGCTCAGAGCTCTCTGGTTATTCCAGTACATTGGGCAAGCAAAAAGACCGAGTTTGCAAACTTGATTAAAATAAAGGCTCTTTGCTTTTACATATGGGACTCGGTCTCCTTGTTGGCTTTTGCAGGGACTTCATGGATTTGGGCATAACACTTACATCTAGAGTTAACCCACTTCCATTATTTTATATTATTTTATATTTTACCATGCCTTCAATTCTAGCACTCAAGAGGCAAAGGCAGAGGAAGATATAGGCAGATCTCAATGATTTCATGACCAGCATGGTCTATATAGTTAGTTTCAGGACAGCTAGAGCTGCGTAATGAGACCCTGTTTAACCAAACAAATAAATAAAAATAAAATAAATAAATAAGCAAATATAGCTTAAAATTAAAAGAACAGCCAGCACTACAAAATATATAATACAATTTGTGACCACTCAGATTATAAAATGGACAAAAAATATGAAGTTATTTCTATGAAAAAGTTATATCAACCACAAACATGTGAAAAGGAATTTAATTTAACACTACTATTTTTTCTTTAAAGATTACTGCTGTGAATAGTGTCAGTCCATACCATGCATCCATCATATTGAATACCTTTTTAAATCACCAAAATGCTTGCAAGATGTGGAAACAGTCATAAGAGGTAGCAATGCAAAGTGATAGAGACAATACTCAGAAATACAATTAACTCGAGTGTATATCTTATAGATTATCATCATACTGAATTAATGATTAGGTTATAAGTCATGGGTTTCCAGTAAAATCTCTGAGAATCAAATAAAATGTAACTATTTATTAATAAGGAATTGGTACCTAAATTTATAGGTAAAAGCATAATCCTGAGTTAGCAAGATGATTCTATGGATAAGAGTGCTTACGGCCAGACCTAATGGCCAGAACATATGTACTTAGTGATAGAGAAGCAGTCCTAAAAAATTTTCTCTGACCTCCACAGTATTAGCACCATAATGTACACATACGCACACACACTCATGCACACACATGTGCACAGCATATATATATACTATACAGATTATATAAATAATTAGCATATATAAGTGTTAATTTTTAAAAATATATTTCTAAAATGAAAACTTGAATAAGTTTTAAATAAATTTTGTTATTTGATTTTCTTCAAAAAGAAAATTGCTGGCCCTGGAGAGATGGCTCAGCAGTTAAGAGTCCTTGATGATCACAGGCTTGGGTTGGCTCCCAGCAATGACAGGACAGCCTGCACTATCCTGGAACAACTAAATCTTTAAACCTTAAAACACTGGGAGGAAATTAAACAACCCCAGAAAGTTGTTTTCTGGCAGTCACACATACACTGTGCACACATACACTCTGAGATACAATTACACATACCCAATAGATAGATAGATAGATAGATAGATAGATAGATAGATAGATATTAGAAAGTTAACAATGAGAATTTCTTTAACCACAGGGGTTCAGTACACAGCATAATCCACTGGGGTCATTTACAGTAAGTATTGTTCCAATATAATCTTGAATTCATGCTCCAAACTCCAATAATAATCTCTTCGTTTTTCAGGCACCATATCTTCCTAAAATCACATGATTAAGTCTAGTAAAAAGGAGACCTTGCTTCTGTGAGGAAAATGTTGACAGATACCTTCCTTGTAGTGATCTGAAATTTCTCATTAGCTGCACAGCTAATAAAACCATTGTGTTTGGACTTCTTTTCCAAGGACTCCTTGGAAGGCAACTTGTATTACTTTTTAATGCATGTCGGCCTCTCAGTGCTCTCCTGGCAATGGCTGTATTATAAAAATATAGATTTTACAAACAAAAGCAGAAGCTTAGGCTCATTTTTTTGCTTTTTATTAGTTCTGTCAAATACTTGATGTGTGCTATAGGAAAAAAATCTATGCAATTTCTTGAAAAGCCTATTAGCTCAGTCCATCCACTCAGAAGCTTTTATTACTCCATGGGCATGATTCCTCATAGCATGAACGGTGAATCTAATATTTCATCATAATGTAAGATCACATTTTTTAAATCATTGAAAGTAATTCAGTGAGGCTTAGAGATGGGAGAATGAAGAGTCAGATACTGAAGATTTTTATTCCAAAATCTCTTGGTCCTTAGACACTATCTTTCTCTTCCTATAACTATTTTTTTCTGTTCTGTCAGGGTTTTGCTCGTCTACCCACAAATTCATTTAGGTATATTTTCTTCAATAATTAATTAAACATGTTCTATGTATTAACTTTCCCCTGTTTAGTGAAAAACAAAGGAAACAATTAATTCAGAACAGTTCGATTGATCATTTGTAAAGTAAAAACTATGAAAAAACATTTAAAGCAAGCCAGTAGAACCACAAAATTGGCCTTGGGAGTAGAAGAGATTGCTTTTAGCAAAAGACCACATAAGTCCTCTTTGACTATCACCAACTGTCATCATCATCTAGTGGCACTTAAGCAATCAAAGTGATATCAGGAAGCTGTTAAAAATAGGGTTTGGGGCTGGGAAGGTGGCTCATGGTTAAAGCACTTGTCACCCACATGATGGGTAAGCATGGGGGCCTGCCTATCATTCCATTGCCTAGAAGGTAGAGTCGAGATCCCCGGAGCCGACTGGCGAATCATCACTTGCCTCAGAGAAGAAAACTAGGGCAATGAGCTGCCGAGGTATCTCAGTGTGCTTGAACCCAGTTACCGAGCTTCGGGCAAGGGGGCTGGAGGTTAAAATACACACACACACACAAACAGAGAGACAGCGATACGGGTCATCCTTAAATTCCGCAAGAATGCCCCCTTTATTGTGTTCAGGGGCAGATTATATAGAGAAAGCCACGCCCCAGCCAAACCCACCAGAAACCACTCTCCTGCCATCAGGAATTCCTGAAGGTCTCGTGCTCAGAGCAGCTGTAGGCACTCAGATCAGGGGATTACAAGAAATTCAGGATCTGGGGTCTCACTGCTCCCAACACCGAGCTGATTTATGTGAGACTACACAGGTCAATAAGCGGTGGAGTCAGGGTGGTAAGCCTGAACTCTGGCTGGGGAGTCTGACCTCTTACCCTTTAACATTTGTTATCCTTATGATTTATGCTGTGATCCACAGCACTAGAAAACACTTAAGTTTGAGGTGTTTTGTTTTATTGTTTTTAAAATCTGCACTCCTCTTTCTTCCTGAATAGAAATGAAAGTCAGCCTCCCTTCTCGTAAGAACTCTGATCAAAAGCCTGACCATGTGCAGAATCAGGAACAAGGGCTTTCTGCACTACAGAAGTGTACTGATCAGTACTTCTGGAAACAAAGGCTTCAGAGAGTGAAGCATCCCACTCTGGCCTTGGGCCACCTGTTATGGGCCAGCCTAGCAAGCATAGAGGGTATCATTCTAAATCTTCTGAAAGAAAGAAGGGGGCAGACATGTCTCCTGTAAGAAGCAAGAGAGGTACAGCTCATTGTGACACTACAAATCCCCCAACAAGAGAATGCTATCACCACTCAGCTCTCAAACTTCCCTCACTGACCTTGAGCGCCTCTGGCTGGTCCCACCAGACTGGGAGGTTTCATCGATTAACGGACTCACAATCTTCTCAGTCATATCCGTGAGCACAGTAAAGGTGGGTTCCACAACGAAGTCAATAAAACCTACAAAGAAGCAGCAGTGGCTCAGATAACAGTATGCTAAATGGGATCAGTCCTGGTTTTTCACGAGAAACCAATTACTCTTTTCTTCACCAATCCACCAAACAAAGAAAACAACACCTCTACAAGGGAGCTCCAAATCAGTCAAGAACTAGTTGGTCTCATTCTTATTGAGTGTCACGAGACAATTTCGTTTCCCCTATATAATTCCCTTAGGACTTTTTAATCAGTGATTCAATTGAAAGATTAAAAATACAATTTAACACCTGCTATATAATAAACAGTGTGGTGTGTTTTATTATTAAAGGTTGAAGATGAATAATGTGAACCAAAAGTCTTCAAAGAATTTATAAGTAAAATTTAATGGGGACAAAAATGAGCCATAGAGTTTCTGCAGGGCCAAAGGAGAAGCCCAGATGAAGATGCTTAGGAAAGAAATGGAAGAGAGGAGATATGTTGCTCTTATAGAGATCAGTGAAGAGTTATGTGGAAATTTTGTGTTTGACATAAGCTCTCAAGGATGGGTATTAAAAACAGTGTGGCTATTCACTCTGGACAGAGGGACACACAGAGGTTGAAAAGTATGCAAATGATGACTGTGCAACCACTGGGGTGAGGGAAATGCTCTGAACTTTGAAAAAAATGTTCGGGGAGGCCAGTTATCCTCAGTTATGTCAGGGAAGGAAGCTCTTGAGGTTTAGAACCAGAAAATTACTGGGCCAGCCTGACAAAATCTGCTAAGCTTTGTGATAATATGTTGTAATAGGGAGTGGCGGGCTATATTCCTGGCACCCGGCCTCCCGCACGGCTAGCTTTATACCCGAAATAATTACACAGAAGCTGTATTTTTTTAAACATTGCTTGGCCAATTAGCTTTAGCCTCTTACTGGCTAGCTCTTACATATTGATCTAACCCACTTCTGATAATCTGTGTCGCCCACGAGGTGGCTTACCAGGGAAGATCTAAACCTGTGGCTGTGTCGGGTGAGAGAATCATGGCGACTCACTGACTCGGCTTCTTTCTCCCAGCATCCTGTTCTGTCTACTCCGCCTACCTAATTTTCTGTCTTATCAGAGGCCAAGCAGTTTCTTTATTACTTAACCAATAAAACAACAGATAAAAAGATGACCCTCCTCCATCAATGATATATTTAAATGAGCTTTGATCCAGCCCATGCAGCAAGAAACATGGAAAGGCAGTGAGGAGGGCTTTCCCTGGACCCCCTTCTCCAGATGCTGCCAAAACTAAGTGCGTGCCTTGAAAGATAGTCAGGCTTATAATGTTCTAAGCAGCAGCAATCATCAGCCTCACATCTTCATCATCACCATCAGCAGATTCGGTGAGAAAATTGGGAATTATTTTTTCACTATTTAATTTTTTTAAAAAATGAAAACAATCTTTTTTCATTTTACTTATCAATCCCAGTTACCACTTCCTACCTTCCTCCCCTTCCCTCCACTGACCCCCTCACCATGCCCCCATCCACTCCCCATGTGAGGGTAAGGCACATTACTTTGAGGAGCATCCAAGGCCCTCCCTACTATATTTAGGCAGAACAAGGTATCCAGCTAAAGAGAATAGGTTCCCCAAAACTAATACATGCAGTTAGAAAAAATTCGGGTACCTCTACCAGTGGCCCCTCAGTCTGCCCCAGCCATACAACTGTCACCCACATTCAGAGGGAATAGTTTTGGCCTATGCTGTTTCTTTCCCTGTCCAGCTGGAGATGGTGAGCTCCCATTAGCTCAGATAAACTGTTTCAGTGGTGTTCCCGTTATGGTCTTGACCTTTTTGCTCATATTCTCACTCCTTCTATTCTTCAACTGGATTTTAACTCTAACTCTGTTTCCATCAGTTACTGGATGAAGGTTCTATAGTGACATTTAAGATATTCATCAGTCTGACTACAGGGAAAGGCACCCTCTCCTCTATTGATTAGAGTCTTAGCTGGGGTCATCTTGTGGATTCCTGGGAATTTCCCTAGTGCTAGGTTTCTTGCTAGCCCCTTAATGGCTCCCTCAATCAAAATATCTCTTATCTTGCTCTCATCTTTCTCCTTACTCCATCTCAACTATCCCATTCCCTCAAGTTCTCCTCCCTCTGCTCTGAACCGGTGTGAGCCAGTTTGAACTGGTCTGAACCTGCCAGAACTGGTTTGAACTGACCTGAATCAGTCTCAATTGGTTTGAACCGGTCGGAACCGGTTTGACCCAGTCTGAACTGGCCGGAACCAGTTTAGACCAGTCCAACTGGTTTGAACCAGTTTGAACCGGTCAGAACTGATTCAAAATGGTTGGAACTAGTCTAAACTGGTTTGACCCAATCGGAACTGGTCTGAACTGGAATAGGTTGGTCGGAAGCGGTTTGAACCGGTTTGAGCCGGTCTGAACTGGTCAGAACCGGATCGAACTGGTTTGAGCCAGTCTGAGCTGGTTTGAACCAGATTAAACCGGTGTGAGCCAGTCAGAACCTGTTATAACTGGCCTGAACTGGCCAGAACCCATCGGAACTGGTCTGAACCAGTTTGAACTGGTCGGAACCGGTCTGAACCAGTTTAGACTGGCCTAAACCTGTTTGAACTCGTCTAAACCAGTCTGAACTGGTTTGAGTTGCTTGGAAACGGTTTAAACTGGTTGGAACCAGTCTAGACCAGTCTGAACTGGCTTTAACCGGTTTGAACTGGTTCAGGCTGGCCTTAACTGGTCTGATCTGGTTTGAACCGGTTTGAACCAGTCAGGACCGGTCTGATCCAGTTTGAACCGGTCTGAACCAGCTCAGAGCAGCCTGAACCAGCTTGTACCAGTGTGAACTGGTCGGAACTGGCTTGAACTGGCCTGAACCAGTCTAGACCGGTCTGAACCGTCTGAACCGTTCTGATCCTGTTTGAACTGGTTTGAACTGGTCAGGACCGGTTTGAACCGGTCTGAACTGGTTTAGACTGGCTTGAACCAGTCTGAACTGATTTGAACCAGTTGGGAGTGTCTGAACCAGTTTAAACTGCTCAGAACTGGTTTAGACCGGCCTGAACCAGTTTAGGCTGGCCTGAACCGGTTTGAACTGGTAGGAACTGGTCTGAACCAGTCTAAACTGGTCTGAACCGGTTTAAAATGCTCAGAACCGGTTTGAACTGGTTTTAGCCAGTCAGAACCAGTTTGAACCGGGTCAGAACCAGTCTGTACCGGTCTGAACCTGTCTGAATCAGTTTGAGCTGGTCAGGACCAGTCTGAACCGGTTGGAACTGGATTGAACCCCTCGAACCGGTCTGAGCCGGTTTGAACCGGTCTGAACCAGTTTCGACTGGCCTGAACCAGTTTGAACCCGTTGGAACAGGCCTGAACCGGTCTGAACCGACTCAAACCAGTCGGAACCAGTTTGAACCAGTTTAGACCGGTCTGAGCCGGTTTGAGCCGGTCGGAATCAGTTTGATCTGGTCTGAACTGGTTTGAACTGGTCTGAAGCGGCCAGAGCCCTCGGAACTGGTTTGAACCAGTTTGAGCCAGTTAGAATAGTAATATTAAGAAATATCCTTAGTTTTTCCATGAAAAGCAAGTTCAAAATTACCATCATAACATAAACACACATAGAGGCTTCTTTATATTTCAAACTCTGTTTTTTTTTTTCAACTTGGTGCAGATTTGTAGTTAGTTTTTCAAGCACTGCACTTATATTTAAGAAATTTTTAGTGGATTCTAAGTATCATAATAAAGTTCGAAGACAGTGAAAATTAATGATTCCTGCTAATAAGAGCTTCATAACTTGTCATCAGCCAGTGAAGGCTTCAGGATGATTTAAAGAACAAACATGCTCATTTGGTTGTACAGATGGTGGTATCTGAAGTTCAAATTATTTTTTCTTCTGTTTCTTATTTGTTGTGCCTATGTAATATTTCTCCTTAACTCCGTGGTAAGGAAATAGGAACATTAAGCCTTAATGTCTCTGATTTCTTGAACTAACAGACTCAGACTTGGACAACTGAAATTTTTTTCAATCCAAAAAAAAAAAAAAAAAACAACAAAATCCTTTTGAGGGAAAGGGTAGCAGACACAGTGACATAAGTTACAGGGATAAGCTTAGTTCCATGACCTCTGAAAGAAATTTAAATAGTGGTATACAAAAGACAATTAAGAAAACACTAACTTTATGCATTGTCTCTTTATGTAGGACTGTGTGATTATAAGTATATTTGTTTGCTTTCTGGAAAAAAATGTACAAAAGAATGAGTTACTATTTAATAACCAGGTATGTGTATCCAGAGTATGTTAAGCAAATTATGGCTTAATTATACCTGTTTTATGCAAAATACATCTTAACAAGAGGCTGGAAGGACCATTCAAGTCACTTGGCCACCAAGAATTGCTTTACACTGACAAGGATCCAGCTACCTTCGGCCCAGGCTGCTGAAGGGATCCACACTTTTTTAAGCATCTTCCCTTACGCTTCCATTTTCTCTCAAAGTATGCATATTTCTACAAGCTAGGAAGTATAAATTAAGGGATCTAGATGGGAACCAGAGACTGTTTTCTTTCCAGTTCTAACATAGCACAAATGCAGATAGTATTCAAGCTAACTACTTAGAAAATGAACCACAGTTAATTAAATATGACTTTGTCAAGTTTATGAATAAGAGTCAAGATTCATTCCAGTGACCTCAGAGTTAGGAAATTCAAGTCTTGAAAATTATAAAGTGTTCTATATCTGAGTTTGCAATGAGAAAATCACTCTTCTTAGATAAAGCATATTAAATCCACATGGGGTATAGAAAATGTAATTATTTTATCACATAGCTGGGCATTTAAGCCTTACTGCCCTGCCAATAAAATAGATTGTTTCATATGAAATATGTAGTCAACTGGAGCACCTTTATGGAGAACAGAAATTGTTTCCTTAATGCCCCTAGAATCAGATTTTCTTCTAAAGTCGAGATTTTTTTTCA